ACTCCGCTGCCTTCTTCTTCCCTTCTCTTCCTACATCGCCTTCTCTCCCGATCCATCATTTCCACGGTGTGGAACGATCGCGTCTTCTCGCTCTATCCGTTTTCATCGATAACCGTTCTTCCGATATACATCTGCCCGGTGTAAGATAATAAACCACATTTCTAGATCGCCGAAGAAACGCACGCGCGATTCAACAAATACAACGTTCTAAATACCTCGACGTATAGTCGAGTATCGTTTGTCGTTCGATTCGCGAAATTTACGATCGTATCGAGAGGCAATGGTAGATTACGCGTATATACAACTGGCGCGCACGGATGGAGGTCGACGCACAATGTACCTACCCGGAGTAATTTCCTGCCGGAACAACCGAGTTGTCTCGTTAGTCGGAAAACATTGTCGGTACTTTTAGCGTTTCTCTTCCTTTCCCCTTTTTTCTTTTTTCCTTTTTCTTTTTTCTTTTACTTTCTTTCCGTTTTCTTTTTCAAACACCAGGCCAGAGCGATAGTAGGTAGAGGTGCGTAAATAAGCGCGCAAAGACATTCGATCTCGCAAACCTGACGTTAACGTATCCGATTAATCGACGATGAAAGAATAATCGTATTTTCTAATTATTCCCGAAGCGTTTCGACGGATAGTAACGGGAAATTCATTCGTTTCGTGCAGCTTCTAGGGACTGAATTGCCACAGCGTATGTCGAACGAATAACGGTGTACCAAGTTTATATTCCTTTTCCACGTGGTCGATGATATAGCCGGTAAGTGCGAAGTAGGTATCTTGGTCCTCTCGTAACGCGTATCGGAAGAAAATGGACCGATTCGCGATACGATCCGCGATACGACTCGCGATACGACTCGCGATACGACTCGCGATACGACTCGCGATACGGTTCGCGTTGGCGACTCGCGACCAACCGTATACCTGGAGAACAGCATCGCGTCGCTCGACCGCCGCGAGCAGCGTCTCTTCTCGATCGACCTGTTGCCCTCTCGATCCTCTCGACTGGAACGCGCTTCTACGCGGAAACGCCGCGGTACGCCGCGGTACGCCGCGGTACGCCGCGGCACGCCGTCGCCTTCGGCCCACCGCGTACCAACCATCGCAGAGTAAATCGACAAATATATACCCGCTTTTCAACTCTTTCCTCTTCTCCCCTTTACCTTTCCGCCGATTCCGCCATCCGAGTCAACCTTTTACCTTCGCTTTACCTTTTACGCCACACACGGTTCCTACGTCCTTCTTCCCCCTATAAAGATATAAATCCCTTTCCCTTCCTTTCCATCACCGATCTTATCCCCCAAGTTTGTCTTAAATACTACACACGCCGATCCTACGTGGATCATCGTTCCCATAGCGCAACCATACACGTATATTCGTTTAGGCAGTGACATATCCGTGCGTATTCCAACGTAATCGTTGGGTACGCTCGAGCTTTTCACGCTTCGCGACGCGCGTCATATCTGCTTCCTGGAGGGATCGTGGCCCGTGACTGTTAACTACCCAACTCGTGATTATGGAAACAAAGCTGGCGAGACGGAGAACGAACGCGTTTCTCCATCGGATGCGAATCGGCCGTTGCGACATCCCCTTTCGTTCCCTCTTGCCGATGTATTATACGATGCGTAAGTCGATTCGAACGAACGAGTGCGGAAAACGGAGGCAAAGCGGAGGTAATCGCAAACGGACGCGAAGCCCACGATTCGTGGTGTACGCGTTCAAATGTATCGTGGTAACCCGCGAACAATAACTCTTCCTCCACTCTCGGCGTTTAATGGCCGTCCATCTATTTAACGTGAAGGAAGAGGAAGTGACTGATGGGTAGATAGGTCGAGCGTTTTGTAACTAATTTCGCGAGTAAATTGTCCGTAACATTGGTTTGGTGCAGTTGAAACGTAACTAAATATAACGACAACGAAACGGGGTTGCCGAAGCCGATGCTCGCGACAACGCGCGAAGCCCTACCTGCGATCGCTCACCGGCCACTAAAAACCAATTCTCCTCGATTTATCGTGATAAGCCTGATAACGAGGAGACCGCTTACCTTCCTATTTCTCGCCTATCATCGGAAATCGGTCAACGGGGGCCGATCGATCGCGTCGATTCATCGATACCGATTCCTCCCACTCTCTTCCATATTTTTTCTACCTATCCTCCTTCTCTCTTCCTCTCTCTCTCCCTCTCTCTCTCGCTCTCTCCCTTTTCACATCGGCCTGTGTATACAGATAATATAGCGTGTAATTCGATCAATTACCGCGGCGACTCGAGATCACAGACGCGAAAGGGCGATAAGGGACGTGGAAAGAAATGAGAAAAACGGAAAGGTTCCATGGGCCTAAGGAAACATTTACCGTCTCGGAACGATCTTAGCGTCCGCTACGATGGCCCTGTGTGCATCAAACGCATGCAACGCGAGTAACCGCATGCCCACCCACTCGTTCGCGATTCGCCGTGACTCACTGCTAGCTGCAGCTCGATAGTCCAGTGATATGCATCGCACAGGCGGCTTTTCGAATCCCTACCATGCAATGTCAAAGATTCAGCGAGAACAACGCTTTGACTTTGCCTCTCCCGCCTCCACCGCCTCCTCCTCCATAAGCTTCTCCTCCTTCGTCGTCCATCCATCCATCCATCCATCCATCCATCCATCCATCCATCCATCCATCCATCCATCGCCTCGAACGCGTCGTTGAAACGTCGAACACGACGAATATGTAACGACGCGCCATCATCTTCGGTCAACTATCCAATACTCCCGTTACCGAATATAATACCTATAAATGTACCTACGATCGAATAATCGTTGGGTAACGTTAAACGCGTGAGAGAGTTTCCCTCCGAGCAAATAAGACTGTCCTCGTATTTTAGCTCGGCCATCTTCCACTCTAACGTTAATCGCGTTTCTCTTCTACTCGAACATCGAGCGAAATAATCGGTGGAACGATAATCATACGCAGAGCTGAAACGAAGGGCGGTGAACCGTGGAAATGGTTCGTCCGGTGCTCGTCGTCGGGATGCCCTTTCTGCTTGACCACGATAATCGTGGATTTCCGTCCGCTTATTATCTTACACGCGTCACAATACGTTTAGATTGCGTTCCGGTGATGGCTAATTAGCAAACGTACCAGCCAGTTATTCTCTACACCCGCGACTCTCGGCTCATTGTCACGCTCCACCTCCGCTTTCAAATTTGTCTTTCTCGCTAAATCTCCTCCCACACTCTTCCTCTCTTTCTCTTTTCCTTTGTCACATGAAACGATCGGAAACAAATAAACATATCGGAAAACTATGCGTATATACGATATATCATGTATATCATATGAGTATACATATATATATATATGATAGGTGAAAAAGCTTTCGAACGAAAGATTGGTCGCGAGCCACTGTTGCTCGCGATCGGTAAACGATTCGTTCGTGCGAATTTCGCTTACCAAAAGTTCGGTATCGGTAACGGTACGAAGAACCGGTTTTCTACTCTAACCACAACACGTGTCTATTCTCGTCACCGTAGAAAAACCTACGAGCGATTCGCGCTCGAAAGTCACTCGACAAAAACCGACTTGCTTCCGATCGGTCTTCGCCGATACGATCGAGAATAAAAAAAATAAGAAGCTTTCGAATTTTAATTAGCTCCACCATCGATTTCTAATCGATCGCCGACTATTCGAACGGTCCTGTAAGGGAGAGCGGGTCAACTATTCGATATATTTAATCGGGAAATCATGCATGATCGATATACACACGGCATATCTCGATGCGTTGTTGAAATAAACGTTACGCGACACGATTCCATCGTACTCGTGTCAATTTTACGCGAATATTCGAGATTCAAAGAAGAAACGCGTTCGAATGTCTTTCGCCTTTGCGATTTTTCATCGATTCGAAGGAAACTCGAGTGTAAACGAAACCGAATAAAAGAATTTCAAAGCTTAGAAACGAACGAAGCCATGTTTCGTTGCGAAAGAGCGCAAATGTACATACACGAATGTAGGTGGGGGAAAATAGATAGATAGGGGAAAAGGTGGCAAAGGTCGAGGGAAAGACTTATAAGAACGACTTACGAGGCACGTTTCGTACGACTGACCGAATTGGTCGGTAAGGTGGAAAGACGTGCGACGCGTGTCCCAGACGGACGGCGTATCAAAGGATATTTGCCCTGTCAACAACGCGCGGCTTTATGTGGAAACACCGCTCTGCGTCTAAAAGGGAAAAACGATTACTCGGACCGAGATAATAGTAATGGCCGTTATTACTTCGCTCTATTATTTTACGATCCAACGTTGCCTCGAAATCGATATGCTATCTCGTACTCCTCTAACGCGATCGATCGGCAAACACGCGTCCTCCGCCCATTCTTCCCAGCCCCGAGATCCACGAACCGCGACAATCCCGATCTCGCCACGATTCTACGCGTGCTTTCTCTTTAAACTCCATCGCGATATTTTTTTCATTCGATTGCACGAGATAGTGGATCGTTCTCATTCGGCATGTTCCATCGTACGATGAATCATCCACAAAAACCTCGTAAAGTCATAGACGATAAGACGCGGAATGAAATGGTCGAGCTTGTTCCACGCACCAACGATCGTGTACGAAGCGCCAACGATATTTCTTCGATATTCCTTCGATATTCCTTCGATATTCCTTCGATATTCCTTCGATATTCCTTCGATATTCCTTCGATATTCCTTCGATATCCCTTCGATATCCCTTCGATATCCCTTCGATATCCTTTCGATATCCCTTCGATATCCCTTCGATATCCCTTCGATATCCCTTCGATATCCCTTCGATATTCCTTCGATATTCCAGCCGATACTCGAGGGGGTACGTAGGATGATCGGATTGGGCGAACGAGCATGGAAGGTGGCGCGTGGAACGACCTTGTCGCCGAAACAAGGAAATAAGAAAAAGAAAAAAGTCAAAAGTAAAAATGCGAAACGACACGGTGATCGGAAGCATAGACGAAGAAGCAAAGCGAAAAGAATACAGCGTCTCACCTGCATCTGCAACCAGGAGTAATCGATATAAGTGGTGGTGGTGGTAGTGGTGGTGGCGGCGGTGGCGGTGGCTGCAGCAGCAGCGGCGGCGGCGGCGGCAGCGGCGGCGGTAGCGGTGACAGCGCCAACGACGTTCGAAGCGGAGGAGATCTGCTGCCAGTTGTCCTGGCCGGTACAACCGAGTACCGGCAATCCGTCGGGTTGACCCCGATCCGGTACTATCTGATCGGCATACTGATAGGGTGGCTGAATCGTCGGCTGTCCGCCGGAAGGCAAACTCGCTGGATGAGGGTGCTGGGCCCCCGAGCCGGCACTGGCGGGCAAGCAGCACACGCTCACGTCCATCCGTGGTGGCGGAGAATCGTAAAAACGTTGCTGCTCCGGCTCTGACTCTGGTTCTGGCTCTGGCTCTGGCTCTGGCTCTGGATCTGACTCTGATTCTCTAGCTCTGCCTTTTCCACTCTGCCTTTGGCTCTGCCTTTGGCTCTGGCTCTGGCACAGCTCCTCTGGCTCCGATTCTAGCTTCAGCCTCCGCTCTGCCTCCTCTGCCCAAATTGACCTGCCGCGGTTTAACCACCCCCGTGGAACCATCCAAACTCTGCGGCCAATCTTTACCTATTCGTCCTTTCGCGATTCCCCGATACCGACACCCGAGGCGTTACAACAGCTTCGATCGATTCTGTCTTTCTTCCCTTCGGTTTTCTACCCTCTTTTCCACGCTATCGCCGATCTTTCTCCGTATCGCAAAGAAAAGTAAAGAAAAAAATCGGCAATGAAAACAACCACGTCGCAGAAGAGGTAACGAATATAGGATGACGGTGACGGTGAGGGTAAGGATGACGTTCCGCGTCCTTTGCTCGCTGCCCAGACCACGCAACCTCTATCACCCTGACAGTCGGACGACTTGGCGGCTCGATTCGATCCAAAGCATATAGAACAACAGTGGCGGAAACAAATTGCGTCGTGTGTGCGCGCCGGTCAAATCTTGCTTCTCTGCCGTGTCCCGCAAGTTCGCGTTCGATAATAAACAACAGTCGGCAAAACGTTGCGATATGCTGTTAATCCTGTAAATACGCGACCACTCGGTTTCCTTGGCTCGTTCCACTCCGTTCCAATTACTCGACCAACTGTCCGATTTCCTTGACGTCGCTTCGCGACTTTTCAGATTCGTTAGCGTTGTTACCCCTTCGCCTTCCTTCTGGACAACCATGCTCCGTGTCTAATTTCGAATCACCTTTCGGAAAGCGGATTCACCGTTGCGTCACACCTCTTCGAGAGTCATCGATACCTACTCGGTTGATACCTATTTCGCCGATAATGCCAACGCAATCTGCACCGCTATGCTTCTTCCTCTCTTCGATTCTACATCGAATACGATCAGCGAATAATCGCTTTTGACACCGCCGTCGATCCAACACTCGGCCAATTGTTTCGCGTAGCTACGCGCAACACCATTTTTCGCGATACCCTTAGGATCGTATCGTCTCGTTCCAGCAAATCTTTCGTCAAGAGAACGAGTGTCGCCGATTTCAAAGTATCATCTCTTTTCTTCTTCGCTATTCTTCTTCTAGTCGTGGAAAAACGCGAAAAAACGCGAAAAAACGCGAAAAAACGCGAAAAAACGCGGAAAACGCGATAAAACGAATCCGCCGTGAGTGCGTAATTCTATTTGATCTGAAGATAGAGAGCAAAAGTGGCACGCCCCAAAAGCATCGAGTAACCGTGTCGCATAGACCATAGGAATTCCATGTTTTTGCCAAACGGTTTTTGCCTCGACCATACGAAACGAGAAAAAAATTCGCCGTTGACCCAACGCTTACACCGCGTCTTCTTTTTCCCTCTTGCTGCTTCTTCCTCTTTTCCTTTCTATTTTCCTTTCCTTACGTTAGATATACAGTAGCGGCACGATGAGTTCTTTCAGATCGTAGAATACTGCAACGACACTCGATGCTTCGTCTTCGATTATCCTGGATATAATATCGCGTCGATTAATCGATTTGATTCCAGTTTTCACGGCTTGCTGCGTAATCCCGCATCATGCTTTTCGAGAGAAACTCAAACGAAAATGACGTCGACCTGCCGCTGTTCTTTCCAAAGCTAAGCTACAGCGGCAGGTTTTACGACGATAGTGGAACATTGAAAGCACTTACGATACGTCGACCCTAACCCTTGCCAATAATCTTACGATCGTTCGCCTTATAGCCTTCACTATGGAACATTTAGGAACACTTGTTTTTGGCTCGTCTTTTTCCTTCTTTCGATCGAAATACACCAAAATTTACGGATCACGGTCACGATCACGATCACGATCACGATCACGATCACGATCACGATCTCGATCTCGTGCCCAGTCCCGGTCACGGTCACCATACACCAACGATCGAATCGATATATTCCCTTACTTCCTTCTTAAACCACGTTTCTTCCTTCCTTCCTTCCTTCCTTCCTTTCTTCCTTCCTTCCTTCCTTTCTTGTTTACTTGCTTACTTCCTTCCTTGCTTCCTTCCTTCCTTGCTTTCTTGCTTCCTTCCTTCCTTCCTTCCTTCCTTCCTTCCTTCCTTCCCTGCTGCCTTCCTTGCTGCCTTCCTTCCTTCCTTCCTTCCTTCCTTTCTTCCTTTCTTCCTTTCTTGTTTACTTGCTTACTTCCTTCTTTCCTTCCTTGCTTCCTTCCTTCCTTGCTTTCTTGCTTCCTTTCTCCCTTTCTTGTTTACTTGCTTACTTCCTTCTTTCCTTCCTTGCTTTCTTGCTTCCTTGCTTCCTTCCTTTCTCCCTTTCTTCCTTCCTTCCTCCCTTCCTTCCTTCCTTCCACCCTTTCTCTCTTCCTTCCTTCCTCCCTTCCTTCCTTCCTCCCTTCCTCCCTTCCTTCCTTCCTTCCTTCCTTCCTTCCTTCCTTCCTTTCTTTTTTTCTTTCTTCTTTCCTTCTTGCCTTCCAAGTCCTCACCGTCGTTGCGACAACATCACTGGTACGTTTATCGAAATGTCAAAAACATACGAACAGTGGGAAAGCTTTGTACACGAGATAACAGAAGCAGATCATCGAGGTCGTGAGTCGATCGTGTAACACTCGGAGAATATAATATCGTCGCACATGTTCACGAATCAGTCGATAACTCGAAACCAGTTGCAAATTTTACGCGAAAAAATCTTTCGTTTCCGTTGAACCACTCGAATCGGGCAGCGGCGGGTTGACACGAGATGCAGACGATAGTGGAACAGAACGTTGACGGGTCGATCGCGAATTATCGACAAGAACGTTCCGATACGGTCGCGCCTTATCACAACCACCGTCGACGCATGACAACCAGCCGCTCGTAGTAACGATACCAGAACCGCGCTGAAGGAAGAGCAAGAGGTGGAGAATGCGACAGCAAAGTAGAGGGAGAACGAGCAGGAGGAGGAGATGGAGGTGGAGATGAAACCAAAGGTGGTGGAGGTGGTAATGCTAGTGGAGGTTGTCGAAGGTGGTGGAGGTGATGGAGTTGGTGGAGGTAGTGGAGGTGGTGGTGGTGAAGGTAATGGAGGTGGTGGAGGTGGCGTAGGTGATAGAGGTGTTGGGGCGGTAGCGGTAGCGGTGGTGGTGGTGGTGGTGGTGGCGGTGGTG